AGGGAAGGGAAGGGAAGGGAAGGGAAGGGAAGGGAAGGGATTTCAGTTGGGTGAGACCTACAATGGTCATCTAGTCCAACTCCCTGACCACTTCAGGGCTGACCAAAAGTGAAAGCAAGTTATTAAGGACATTGTCCAAATGCTTTAAAAACACTGACAGACTTGGGGCATCAGCTGCCTCTCTAGGCAGCCTGTTTCAGTGCCTGGCCCCTCCTCAGGAAGCTGCAGAGAGCAATGAAGCTAGACAAGCCTGAAGTCCTCAGCCACTCATCATAGGACATTCCTGCCAACCCTTCCACCAGTTTTGTTGCCCTCCTCTGGACACATAGTTATTAAGGACATTGTCCAAATGCTTTAAAAACACTGACAGACTTGGGGCATCAGCTGCCTCTCTAGGCAGCCTGTTTCAGTGCCTGGCCCCTCCTCAGGAAGCTGCAGAGAGCAATGAAGCTAGACAAGCCTGAAGTCCTCAGCCACTCATCATAGGACATTCCTGCCAACCCTTCCACCAGTTTTGTTGCCCTCCTCTGGACACATTCAAGGACCTTCACAGCCTTCTTATATTGTGGGGCGCAGCACACAGCATTCAAGGTGAGGCCACACCGAAGCTGAATACAGCATTGACCAGCTGGCCATGCTGTGTTTGATGCACCTCAGGGTGTGGCTTGCTCACTTGGCTGCCAAGGCACACTGCTGACTCCTACTGAGCCTGCTGTTGACCAGTACCCCCAGATCCCTTTCTGCAGGACTGTTCTCCTGCCACTCCTCTCCTAATTTATACTTGTGTTGGGCACTTCTCTGTCCTAGGTGCAGAATCCAACATTTGGACTTGTTAAATCCCATGCCACAGATGATTCTCCAATGCCCCAGTTTATTTTGATCCCTCTGCAAGGCCTCTTGTCCCTCAATAGAGTCAACAGCACCTCCCAGTTTAGTATCATCAGCAAACATTCAACTCCTACACTCAGGTTGTTGACAAGTACATTGAACAGAACTGACCTTGAATTGAGCCCTGAGGAACACCTCTGGCAACCGTTCTCCAACCAGATGTAGCCCCATTCACTACAGCTCTTTGAGCTCTGCCCTTCAGCTAGTTCTTCACCCAGCACACGATGAACCCATTCATCCCACAGATGGACAACTTGTCCAGGATACAGTGATGGATCATATCAAAAGCCTTACTAAAATAAAAAAACCTGCATCCACCACCTTCCTTTCATCCACTAGGAGGGTGACCTTGTCATAGAAGGATATCAAATTAGTTAACTTTCTCTTTGTGAACCCATGTTGACTGTGCCTGCTGATCGCATTGTTCTTTAAATGCATTTCAATAGTACCCAGTATAATCTCCATATTTTTTCCAGGTACTGAGGGTCAACTAACACGACTGTATGTCCCTGGGTCTTCCCTCACACCCTTTTTGTAAACTGGAATAACTCTGGCTAGCTTCCAGTCAGTGTGGACCTCCTCAGACCCTCAAGACCTTTGGTAGATGATTGAGAGTGGTCCTGCCATAACATCATACCCTGGTATGAGCCCCAACAGGTTCCATGGCCTTGTGAACATTCAGCTGATACAGCTGGTCCCTTACAATTTCAGTGCCCGCAAATAGAAAGTTGGTTATTCCCACTCTTGTGGTCCTCTGACTCAGGGGACTGGACAGCCCAAGGTCTGTCAGTTTAATTACAGACTGAGGCAAAAAAAATTGAATGTCTCCCCTTTTTCTCCATCCCTATTAGTCAGGTGATTATCTTAAACATATTTAGATTTCTGCAAGTTCTGCAAAAAATTAGCAGCTATCTACAGAAGAAAGCAGTCATCACTTCTATTAACCATGAACTCTATAGCCATTTATATTTATATAAACATAGATATATATTATACTCATCTATTATATATATATAAATGCAAATTTCTCTCTATATATACAGCTAGCCATTTATATTTTTATTTAGTTTCCTGGCTAGCAGTCAGCATGCTAGCTGATTTATTAGCACATAGAAAGCTAGTAACCCTCTCACTTTTCTTGCATTAAATGGACAGATGTGAAAAATATTTACAGGAAACATGGATGAACAAAGAGCCAAAGAGTGAGAACTGAACAGGTAGCGTAAGAGAGCAGGGAAGGAGCTGTAAGAAAATGGATGACCGGGACTTCTTGTTGCTGAGTGTCAGCAGGAGTATGGGACACACTCATAGAAATCACATTTCACTGGGTCCAGTGTTCACTTGTTTTCTACTTTGGGAGTGAAGTTTATTCTCCATCTTGGTCGCCATGTTTCAACAAGTGTTGATGTTCATTAATCTTCATTCCTAACTGCCTAGAGTGTACCCAACATTGTAATACTGGATCACTAAAAAGCTTTTGTTGCAGATGGAAGCAGGCTAGGTTACCATTATCTAATACTTTTTTCTAATTATTTTTTTTTTTTTATTTTGCAAGAAGCGAATCTGTTTATCATTGGAACAGAGTGTAGGGATGCTTACACTCACAAGAGTATCAAACAATGTAAGTTTGCTGAAATACTCTACACGAAGTTGATAACGACAGATTTCCCTGAGGAATGACTAATCACACTAATAAAAATCAATACTCAAACTTTATAAAAACCGCAGTTGAAAACAGGTGAAGCTCCATCACCGCAGACAATGTGCAGCATGTCTTGTCTGGCCTTGCCTTTGCACAGCGTAGTGTGTGCCCTGCCTTCATCCCAAACACCCTGTGCTTCTCCTCCGGCTTTCTGTATGCACACAACATACCACAGTTCTTCCCGCATCAGGCCATTATTTTCCTTCTTCTCCCTTGCTCTGCCCCTGTCTGTCTTTCCTCTCTAAAGTGTGTGCCTTCTGGCTTAATCTTGCTCTTCAGTACAACGTTCATCTCCCGATGCTGTGCGTTAAATCTCGGTCCTACCGTGAGCCACCCCTGTCCCACTCCTCTGCAGCAAAAGGAGAAATTGCTTTGTGCCTGCCTCTGAAAAGGAAAATCTCCTTCTAAATTCGGATAAAAGTGACCGGCTTAGAGGTGAACTCCCTCTGCGTGATTTAAACACCTGATTAGAAGGCTAACGGTAATTTATTCAGAAACGGACCGCACATACAGACCGGGCCAGGCGAAACCCGAGCAGCGGCAGCACTCCGGGCGAGCAGCCCGCTGGCGACTGAACGCCCAGGCACGCCGGCCGCCAGGGCCTCCCTGCCGCGGCTGCCTCAGGCCCGGCCAGGCCCCGTCCCCTCGGCGGGCCCGCCCTCTTCGCACGGCCCGGGAAGAACAGCCCAGCGGCCCTCCTGCCCGCGAGGGCTCACCTCAGCCGTGGCCTCCGCCCCCACCGGCCACCCTCCGGGCGGCACCGTAGCCCTCACGAGGGCAGAGGGGCCGGTCCTCCCGGCCGAGGGCTGGGGAAAGGGCTGCCCAGCCGGGCCGGGCTGTGGCTCCCGCCCCGCTCCTCACCGCCGCCCCGCCTCCACCCTGCCCCGCCCCGCCCCTCTGTGGGTGGCCGGGGCGAGCCCGCTGCCTCCGTTCCCGCCCCCTCGGCCGGGATTGGTCGCTGCTCCCTGGCCCTGACTATGTATTGGCCGCCGCTGGAGGCTGCAGAGCGTCAGGATTGGCTGTAGTGGCGGCCGCGGGCAGGCCGGCGGTGGCAGCGGGGAGGTGGGCGAGCCGGGCTCGGGAGGGGTGAGTGTGGGGCCGGCCCGGCTCGGTCTGGCCCGGCGGCTGCGGGTCGAGGCAGGGCCAGCCTCGGCTCAGTCCTGGGGCTCTGCGTGCGGCCTGGGGTTGCGGAGGGAGGGCGGTCGTGGAGCCCAGGCAGGGCCGCGCCGCGGCCGTCTTCAACCCTCGGGGCGGTCGCTTGGGCCGCGGAGCGACGGCCTCCCCTCAGGGGCCAGGCCTGCGGGGCGGGGGCGGCCCGGCTGGTGCTATGGCCGAGGGAGGAGAGGCCGAGGCGAGGCACCGCCGCCCCCTCCGTCCAGCGCAGCGGGCCGTGGTGGCCCGACGTGCTTGAGGGGGAGGTGGGCGAGCCGGGCTCGGGAGGGGTGAGTGTGGGGCCGGCCCGGCTCGGTCTGGCCCGGCGGCTGCGGGTCGAGGCAGGGCCAGCCTCGGCTCAGTCCTGGGGCTCTGCGTGCGGCCTGGGGTTGCGGAGGGAGGGCGGTCGTGGAGCCCAGGCAGGGCCGCGCCGCGGCCGTCTTCAACCCTCGGGGCGGTCGCTTGGGCCGCGGAGCGACGGCCTCCCCTCAGGGGCCAGGCCTGCGGGGCGGGGGCGGCCCGGCTGGTGCTATGGCCGAGGGAGGAGAGGCCGAGGCGAGGCACCGCCGCCCCCTCCGTCCAGCGCAGCGGGCCGTGGTGGCCCGACGTGCTTGAGGGGCTCCCTCGGTGGGCGTGGGGAAGCCGGCGGGGCCCGCAGATACAGAGCTGGCACGGACAGGCCTTCAGTTCAAAGTTGGTTTTGTTTTTGCGGGGTGTGGTGTGTTTGCCTGTTTTTGGTGTTTCCCCCACAACATTGTGACGGTGACTCAGTCTCCCAGGGCGGGGGGCGGAGGGGGAAAGCCTGGCGCTGAGGCCGGAGAGCCGTCGGCGATGTCGGGCCTGGGGTGCCCGGCCTGCGCAGCAAGCCCGGCCAGCTGGGCTCTTCCTCGGGCGCAGTAAAAAGAGGCGTGATAAGGTTTACTTCCAAAGTGAGCCCCTTGACATTGCTTGGACTCGGTTACAGAGCATTTGTGCTACCTGTCTGCTGGAGGACAGGTGCTCTGGGCCGCCTGTGAGCAGAACCACCCCCGAATTCAGGGACGGGAGGAAATGTGCCTTGGGCCTGCAATCCAGAGGAGATTTGTTAAGGTGCATCAACTGAAAACGTGCCTTTTTTTTTTGTTTCCCCCACACACGAGCAAAAAAGCATTAACCTGTAGTTACACTGCTCAAGATGGGTTTTGCCCCTGGATGAGAGCCCGGAGGGTGTTGCCTGTGTGTGCTTTGGTGTTACACCTTTAGCAGGTTACCTTGAACTGCTTATCTTCAGCTGTGCTGGCAGCGGTGGAGCTGCGTTCCCTCAGAGTACTGTGCGCTGCAGATATGCTTGGCTGCACATTGCTGGTGAACTAAAACCTCTTATGAAGAATATGTATTGGTTACATAGCATGCGAATTTGTATGCACAAAAGTACTAAAAGGTATAAAAAGTTGGTATTACAACTGTGATGCTGAGTACTTCATAGGATGTGTTTGAAAGCTTAGAGACTGCATTTGTGTTCTTTCTCTATGCTCTGACATGTTCAGACACTTCATTCTTTCAGTGTGGCTCTTGATTTGCACGTTGTGTACACAGTTAAGCATTTTAGAGGAATAATTTTTGATGAAAACTCTGTTACTCTGTATTTAGAAAAAATAAATTATGCCCTGTAGACATAGAGTGTTGTCAGACTAGTACTGTCTTCTGTTAATGCACAAATCACCAAGAATACATACTTTATAGATGTAAATCTCATTTAGGAGAAGTATGCATATTTAAACTTGTGTAGGCAAATATATGTAATAAAATAAGTTTACTTGTGGCAGAGTCAGACTTGCACAGAATTGATTTCCTGCTCGTTCTTACCCATTAGAGAAAGGAAAATGTGTGAAAAATGTTGTTCAGAAAAATCGTTACTTTTAAGTTGCATTAAAATGCATGATCAGAAAACTTCAATGAAATATACCTTTTTATTATTATTATTTCCTTTGCTAATTCAGTGAATTGCAATGCACTGTCAGTAGTGTGCAAAAGTTCTTGACAGATCAAAGCCTCATCAAAATAAGACCTATGAATTATCACCTTGTTAAGTTGGCTGCTCCTGTGAGGATGTTTACTTCTGCAAAAGGAGTTTAGAATAGCAGATGAGAAATATTCATATGATGTATTGGATTAATTCAGCAAATACTGTTACAGGTATTTGTATCAAGAATTTAAGATGGCATTGCTGCCATTTTTACATCGTCATCTGCTTTGTGGTCCATAGTACTTTGACTTGTTTGTTTTGATTCTTGGTCTCTCAGGAAGTCTTGAATAAAATGAAGTATTACTGTGCTTTACAGCACGAGAGGCCAGAATCCCATTGTACTGAGGACAATGCACATGTAAGGCAGACAGTCCCTGACTTGTGGTTTATCCTAGTATTTCTGGATAGTATTTTGAACAAAGTATGGGGAGCAACTTTGTTCTGATTCATTTATTCACTGATATGTTAATGATTCCCTCTGCATTTTTATGGATAGGGCTGTGAGTCTGAGAGTCCACCACAGAGTTATAATGATGCTTCAGGAGTCTTTTATCTATATGCTTAGCAGTGCATTTGGACAGGTCCCAAAGGTCTACTTTGCATTCGTTTCAGTTGGCAAATGTATTTCAAAACTTCAGTTAATACCTTGAAACAATGTTTGAGTTACAGAAACAACTTTGTGGGATAAATATAGGTAAGCCAAAATCACTTGAAGGGGAATGCTGGCTAACCTCGGCCTTTTATTTGGAGCATCTGTGGAGAAGTGATATTTTGAATAAAAAACATGCTAACTTGCATTTAGGAAGGTACTTTCAACCAGTGTTTGGAACTTCTGTGGTTTTGATAGCCTGAGCTTGAATGAAACACACTTCATGCTGTTTATCACAGCGGTATCCTGAAATGTATTGAGGTGTTAAAGTGTGAAATACAGTATGTCTTGAAGGAACCTCACTTCTCTTACTAGCCATGCCTGGCTGGCTGATTTCTGGTATTTGTGGAGCAGGGGTATAACTTATTTATATGGGAAACACAGGTAATTATTAACAAGCTTTTATTAATGAGTGGAATACTTTGCAAGTGTGACAGAATGGATTGACATGTAAATTGCTAAATACTTATGTGTCACAGAGGGAAAAAATACTTAGAAATTCTGCTGCCAATGGTGTTAATCATTCTGAATAGTTTTAAAACAGCTTTTCAAACTTGTTTAACTTCAAGTGGGGTATTTTGATACTGGACACTTTTATAGCATTTCAGATAACTAAATATGTGACTGTGGAAGCAGAGAGAATTCCAGCTGGCACATATGTGTGTGTCCTTCCATATGTGCTTATAATTATTAAAATGTGACCTGAAAAGTTTGCAGTTGTTCACATGTTAAAATCCCCTGTGGTTTTCATGTATTGCTGTAATATTGTCAGTGTCTTTCCAGCTAGATGCTAAGCTGGGGAGAGAAAATCCAAGGTGATCACTGATTTGCGTATGAAATGATGCAACTAGTTGACACTGTAGAAAAGTAGAATACAGAGAAATTGTTCTGATCTTGAGGGTGGCTTGTGGGTGATTGCTTGAGAGATTAGTGATAATCAGTTGCACCAAAGTATCCTACCCGGTCAGCTTGGTGTCAAAGGTGAAACTTCTGAAACAATCAAGAGATAAGTTTGCATAACCCAAATAGTTTTAAAACAATAGCAAAACCCACCTTCTATTTTAGTAACTTTGTAGTCAACTTTGTATCTTAAATAGGTGTGTTTTCATCACAAGTTTGGTGACCAAGACATTTGTAGCTTGGTGACAGCTTAAAAAAAAAAAAACCACCACATGTAAGATTTTGAGCAGCTTTCAGAGTCAGGAATCTGCAACAATATTTTATTAAAACTGGCTCCTTGGTAATGGATGTGTAATATGTTTCCAAGATGGTAATAAGGTGCTTTATGTGAAAAGTGGTTGTTTTTAAAAGGAGATGACAAAAAAAATCAAGTATTTATACTCCACCCAGTAAAATTGGTGTGATTTCAAAGAACAACATATCAATTTTGTGACCTTTTAGAAAATTCTTTAAAAAGAAAAAAGTGTGTAAAAGCAATGGAGAAATAGATCAGTAGAGAAATTGTGATTTATCTTCCAAGTTATGTGAAAGCAAGCAAATACTGCTTAGGAGTAACATTGTAGGGTGTTATCTTAGTCTACACACCAGGAGCTTGGGGAAAAACACACACAGATTTTCCCCTCCACCCTAACATAGTTATGTATGATTGTGATTCCAGAGCTGGAACAGAATAAGTATCTGAAATTCTGGAAGGATATGTTAGGGAAATGGTGATGGGGCTGGTAGGCACCTCAAACACTAAGGCTTTTCCTCTTTCCCAGCCTTTCCTCACAGTGACTCTTCAGTAGATGTTTGTTTGAATCCCTCTCTCTGGGCTGCATTGCTGATTGATATTCTTCAGTCTCCCCAGGCAATCTGTTTAAGTGACATGATATTCATACTGGTAGAAACATTTCCCTTATGTCGCTTCCATATGTTGTTTGCAAGTGTCAGGGAAATCTTCCTTGCTGCCATTTGAGAGTGATCTTTTTTGAAGTATGATACTTAAAACTATATGGAGAGCGCTAGGTCTGATTTTAACAGCATTGATCAGGACAGAAGGGTTACTTTTCCTGTCTTGTAGCCTTCACTCTAATACAGCTCCATATGTTGCTGTTTGCCGAAACGGGGAGAAGTATTGACTTGTGTGAAACTTGTGGTCCCCTGTAATCCTCTGCTGTCCTTCTGCTTAGCTGCACAATGCCAATTATTCCAACTTTGGTAGTTTGCTCAGTAGTTTATTCCTACCTGACAATAATATCCTGCGCCTCTCTGAGAACGATCTCACATTCTTCACAGGTATGTTAGAATCACCTCACATTGTTCCTACAATTTGAAAGTTTTGAAGGCCCGACTGACTTCAGGTGGGCTCTCCTATCAGTCGATTGCATCAGAGGCTTTTGTTACCCTTGTATCCAAGATACAGAATTCTGTCCATGAAAGGCGAAGAAAGAGTTTAAAGTGGTGGGTTTTCTCTGTTCTTCATGGAAAAAAATTAATTCCAAAAAATGACTTTCAGTACTTCTGGTAGTGAATAAGGATTCATTACCTGATTTGGGTTAACTTTGCTTTAATAAAGACAGGTATATAAGGTGAAAGATAACACTGCAAAAATAGGTCTTTGCGTCTGATAGCTTGCTGAATTATATCTCCATCATGTAAGAGTTTTGAGCACCTGAACTTCCAATTTGGGATTCTCCTGTCATCTTTTACTTACTGTTTTTATCAAGGAGAAAGGAAGTGACTGTTGTAACTTTTTAAAGTATGTTGAGGTCATCTGCAATGACAAAAGTAAAAGTAAATCTTGTCTGCCTAAACTATAGAAAAGTTTTGGTGTTTTTAGTGCTGGCTTCTATTTGCTGTCTTCCAGCTCTACATATAGAGAGATGCTTCCTCCCTTAGGAAACTTGGAACTGAAATAGGAGTGCAAGATGCAAAACTTGTAGGCAAAGGAAAAAGAGAGGACAGATATGGGGCGTTTGGTTTTGTCTTTTTTCTTTAGTTGATGAGTAATTTGAGTGGGAGGGAGAGAAGGAGACAGACTACCAGTACACCTTTTATTAAAAATAAGGGCTGAATTTCTGGATATCTTCTGAAAAGCAGGAGGTTAAAATTACTACTTCTGTGCCCTTAGTTTAGATCACATATTTAGAATATGAAAACTTGTGATATTGGGGAAGGACAGAGATGCATTTTCAGCTGATGATTAGCAGCCCATAATAGTGGGCCCATCACTACAGGGGCTACTGGCAAAGTTAGGCTTCTTATTCTGAAAGTTGTAAGGCTGACTTTCTAAGGGAGGATGGGACTTGTTCTTAATTGGTTAGTACATGACGCATACACTGTCCTTATCTTGAAAAGCTTTTAGTACTTCAGTTACTTAATCTCAACTCGAGAGAGGAAAGATTTAATGTGGAATTTCTGCTCAAGCTATTAATCAGGATAAAAACTGGAAAAGCAGTTATTGGTAAACACACAAATGTGTCCTACCAACTG